ACACGCTCACCAGAAGCTGTGCCCCAGGAGGAGGGACCAGGTCCCTGTGACCCAGGTGCCACTCCTCTGCCACAGAGCTCACAGCCTAGAAGAGTGGGACCTTGGTCCCATCCATGTCCTGGGTCAAGCCTACATACCTGAGAACAGATGGGAGGGGGTGCCTCAGGTAGGGGAGTCTGTTAGCTCTACCCCTCACACTCACACTGGACACCCCCGTCCTACCCCCAGACCTGTGTACAGCCCCTGCCCATCTCTGGGCCAAAGAGCAAACTCAGGCCACTCATCTCACTTTCAGAGCCGCAGAAATGGGGGTGATGACAGCTCTCCTAGAAGGCAATGCACTCGCCCTACCCAGAAACCCCACGGGAGGGGGTACCAATAGCCCCCCCTGACTGATGTGGTGAAGCCACAGGTCACACTGGTGCTGAAGGAGGCCATCTCACACCTCCAGGCCAGTGGATGGCAGGCCAGGTCACTCCATCCTCAACTCTCTTCCCCTCCCCACCCCCCCAGCCCCTGGGGCAGGTGTGGAGGAGGAGTACCTCCTACTCGAACCCTCCTGCCTTCTTCCCCTCCACCCTTTTTTCCTTGTGGCTTCTGGGGCCCTGAGGGGCTGCCAGTGCCACAGGACACCCCTCAGCCAAGGCAGGCCCAAAAGAGGGCTGGAGTGGGGCCCCTGTGTGGTGCCTGAGGAAGTGGGGATCAGGGGAGCCCAGAGGGAAACCCGGATAGAATCACATCAAACCCTCTAGGCCTTTGCCCTCAATGCCCCTCCCTGGAGCCCTCTCCCCACAGACAGTTTTCTGGCCCCCCCAATCCTCCCTTAATGGGGTTTTCTCCTTAAACCTCACCTTATCAGTCTCCCCGAAACCCTGTATAGACTGGCTGGGGCCACTTGTCCTGCCCGGGACTCCCCACTCCTCCCTTATGCTTTATTTTCCCCAGGACACGTATCACCTCCGACACACTATTTAACTTCCTTATTGTCTCTCCCCCATCAGAAATAAGCCGAGAACATCGCTACCTAGAAGTGTCTCTATAGATAAAAATTTTATGAGAGTATCATAAACATGCATGCATCTAAAGTGTGCAGCTTAATATATTTTTCTATCAAACCACCACTCAGTTCAAGGTATAGAACATTTCCAGAAGACTCCTCGTGCCCCCTCCTAGACAACCCCCCTTCCAGAAGTAACCATTTATTATTATTTTAGTCCTCACCAGAGGATATTTTCCCATTGATTTTTAGAGAGCGTGGAAGAGAGAGGGAAAGACAGAAATTTTGATGTGAAACACATCAATTGGTTGTCAGAGCCTGAAGTAACTATTATACTGACTTCTATCCCCATGAATTAGTTTCACCTGTCCCTGAATTCCATGTAAATGAACGACATGGAATGTGTTCATTCTCAGTGTGTACTCTTTTTTTTTTTTCTGGAAGGACTTTAGCAAAGGGATCATTGACAGGTGTAGTAGCAAGGGCAGCCAGGCAGCCGGGGAGGTGGCACCCTGGAAACAGACCATCCAAGGTCTCCACGGTGTGTACTCGTGTTTGGCTTCTTTTGCTCAACATAACATCTGCAGGATTCACCCAGGATGTTGTAAGACCGGTTTGTTCTTTTTTGTTGTTAATCCTCACCCAAGGATATTTTTCCATTGATTTCTAAAAATATGTTACTGATTTCAGAGAGGAGAGATAAAAACATCAATGATGAGAAACAATGATCTGCTGCCTCCTGCATGCCCCCTACTGGGGATTGAGCTCGCAGCTGGGACATGTGCCCTTGACTGGAATTGAACCCGTTCGCAGGCTGACTCTATCCATTGAGCCAAACCAGCTAGGGTTCCCCCCCTCTTAACACCCCACCCCCATTGATTTCTTTAGAGAGAGTGGAAGGAAGGGGGAGACAGAAACATTGATGTGTGAGAGAGACATCGGTTGGTTGCCTTCCGCAGGCACCCTACCAGGGCTGGGGATTGAGCCTGCTACCCAGGTACATGCCCTTGATTGGAATCAAACTCAGGATCCTTCAGTCCAAGGGCTGATGCTCTATCCACGGAGCCAAACCGGCTAGGGCCTGGCTCTTTCTTTATTGCTGTTCTGTGAAGCAACATCCTACCACTGACTTACCCGTGCTCTTGCTGATGGGCATTCGGGCTGGTTTCCACTGGGGACTGTGAGCATTCTGGTGTGTCTTGTGGTGGACGTGTGCCCGGGGGGACTGCTACATGGCAGGAAAGCGTATATTAAGACTCAATGAGAAACGGTTTTCTAAGGTGGTTGCACCAACTGATATTCTCACCAACAGCTTGAGTTTGGGAGTCGCCACCTCCTCTGCAGCACTTGGTGGCGTCAGACTTCACCGTGTTGGGTGGGAGCCCGCATCTCATTTCCCTGCAGAGTGATGGCGCTGATGCTCAGTAAACGTTTGCTGGATGAATCCTTAGATGGGCTGTGGAGGGAGGCTCTCCACTCGGCAGGGACAGTGAGATGATACCCTTCACATGACGGTCAAGGCCCCTGACTCCCACACTGGCCTCAGAAGCTGCCCCGTTTCACACACGGGTCACACTTACACTCAAGCGTGCAGCCGAGGCAGGCTGAGACATCCAGACAGAACTTGGCTCTTATTCATCTGGTTCCCAGGTGGAGCTCTGCAGATGGGGTAGTCACAGGCTGCCCCATCAGTGCCCAGTGGTGCCCACAGGGCAGAGCCATCTTTCCCCACTCCCAGGAGGCACTCAAGAGGCCAGACCCAGCCTGGAGCACTGTCTGCCCAGCCCCTGGCCTCTGACTGCAGAGGCTGCACTCCTAACACTTGGCCGAGGGCGAGTCAAGCCCTTCCCGGCTGCCCGTGAGGTCCTGCACCAGAACCTGAACCTGGCTGGTCAGTCACCCAGGTTGGCTAGAACACTTTTCCTAGCCTCCGCCAGAGAGAACCGTGTGACCGTTCCAAGGGGAGGTGAAAGAGGTGACAGGGTCACTCCCAGTCCTGGGCTAGAAAAATCGCCGTGGGTCTGAGCTTTCCGTTTCCACAGTGACCTTGGAAGTCATGGCTGGAAGATGATGAGGCCACAAGGTAGAGCGAGCCTGGGCCCTCAAGTCCCTCTTGGAGAAGTACCACCCACCGATCAGATAAATCCCACTATGAACCTTACATGAACACGAAGTTCCACTGCATCTGAGTCTCTATTTTGAGTCTGTCACATCAGCCCTTGTCCCTAACTAATAGGAACTATCAGCATAAATAGTACAGTATATGTAACTAACAGTTAACAACTAGCCCCATTTTACAGATGAAGAAACTGAACACAGAGAAGCTACAGAACTTGTTTGAGGTTAGGAAGTGAAGAGGCCAGGATTTGAACCTGGGGCCTGGTTCTAGAGGTTCCACTCCTAAGCACTCTGCGGAACCCATGAGCCCCTGGCCATCTCACCCCCATCCGCGCCTCCTTGACACTTTTGCCCATGAAGGTGCTACACACACCTCAGGTTGAATAGAGGAGAAATGGTTTCCCAAAAGAAAGCAGGGGCACTGTGCCCAGAGGGCGAGCAGATGAGAGGCAGACAGAAGCCACACACAACCACGCCAACCAGCAGCCTCCCATTTCACACAAGTCAGACACTTCCGGGAAAAACTCAATCCCGCCATCCTCCTACCTAAACCGCACTCTCCCTGTCAGGCCGCAGTCCCCTGGACACTCCCCATCTCACTCCATTAATTCTCCCCCATCCTGTCCCTTCACCCCTCCCTCACTGCAAGCCTGCATTGCCACCATCTTAAAAACAGAAACAAAAACTTCCCTCCTCCTCCCTCTGAGCCACTGCTCTCTCATCTCTACTTCATAGCCCTGAGCAGTTGCTTCAGCTCACCTGCTTCTCACCTCCCGCTTCCCTGCCTCACCACACGAGCCACCGAGGCACCGAGGCAGCTCTGGCAGAGGCTGACTCGAGGCCTGCAGGGGTCCTGCGATCCACAGCTGGCCTCTCCTTCCTCCCAGCCCAGGGGTGGGCACTACCAACGGATCCTGTCTCCTCTGATGGAGCGAGGTCACCTACTCTCTAGGCCAGGGGTGGGCAAACTTTTTGACTCGAGGGCCACAATGGGTTCTTAAACTGGACCGGAGGGCTGGAACAAAAGCATGGATGGAGTGCTTGTGTGAACTAATATAAATTCAAAGTAAACATCATTACATAAAAGGGTACGGTCTTTTTTTTTTTTTAGTTTTATTCATTTCAAATCGGCCGGATCGGCCCGCAGGCCGTAGTTTGCCCACGGCTGCTCTAGGCCCTACACCCAGTACCACTGCTCACAGGTACCCCAATTCATCAGAGCCGAACTGGTGACCTTCAGGTCGAACCCTGCTCTTCCTCCTGTGTCCCCAGCTAGAAAAGGCCCCTGCCCAAGTGGCTGCAGAAAGAAACATGAGAGTCCTTAGGGTCCCCACCCTCTCAGCACATGTCCAGGCGACCATCGGCGCTCGAGTCACTGCTGACAGACGTCAAGTCTGCCCACCTCACCGAGCCATGGCTCCCTCAAAGCACATCTGCCCCATGGACACTGCAGCTCCGGTGCAGAACTGACTATAGACCGAGCGACTGTGTCACTGTCCTGCTCACAGGCCTTCAAGGCTCTCCCCAATCTACCTACCTACCTCTACTCCCACCGTCCCTTCCCCCACCCTTCACAGCACCAGGCATAGCTCTACAGCTCCTATTACTCAGCCCATCTATCCCTTTGCAGTAGCCCAGAAGGGGCAGAATGGTCTCCATCAGAGAGATAAGAAAAGGCTGCTCGGAGAAAGGGAGGAACCTGCCCAGGGTCATACAGTGTACGACAGGTTGTCCCTCGGCATGACCAGCACACTCCCCCCACCTTCCTTCTATCAGCACCCGGCGGATGCATGCTCCAGCCCCTCCCCGGCCCACACTGCTCAGTGTGGGGAAGTCAGGTGGATGGACAGGAAGGTGGCCACAAAGCCCTGCACAGAGGCTGGGATAAACACTGATGTTCCCTTTTATTTTTATTAATAAATTTAAGAACAGCTCTATCGTCTCTCCTCCGCCCAGAACTAAAATCAACTAAAAGGGGGTGTGGCCTGGGGGGCAGAGGGTGCTAGGAGTCATAATCCTCTTCGTCCTCTGCATCAGGTCCTGAGGGGCCCGGGGGCGCTGGGGGCGGGGGCAGAGGCATAGTCGAGGTGAAGGGCATGAAAGGTGTTGGGGGGCTGCAGGGCAGAAAGCAGGAGAGGAAGGTCAGGTTACTCTCCGGTGCCCACTGAGCCCCACACAGGAAGCATGGAGCCCACCACCCTCTGTACCAAAGGGGGGGCCAAGCCCAGAAAATGGAAGGGCCCAGAACAGGTCCCTAAGCCCCGACCCAGGCCCCACTCACTGCCCTGCCCAGGGGAGGGGAGTTCTGAGACACGGTCTCTGTCCTTAAGCCCTCCTCAGTGCCTCCCTCCCCATTCCCCAAATCTGCCACCATGAGCACAAGCAAGTGGCCAGAGGCCTGGAGGAACAAGTCTGCTGCTGTCTTCCTGGGGCCACTGCTTACCTCTGAAAGTGGGCAGGGGGGTGGCTGGCCTGGGGTGGGGCCTGCGGTGTCTCCTCTTCCCCATCGGTGTCAGTGTCCTCGGACTCATCCTGGGAGCAAGACAGGGGTCAGAAACGACAGGAACGGCATGGGCCGGTCACTGGAGAGCCCAGACCCCGGAAACGGCAGGGGCGGGAGGCTGACCTCACAGCCCCCATTGACAAAGCCGCCACAGGTGAGGATGGGGCCGGCCTTCGGCCGGCGTGGAGGGGCGGGGCAGAGGGCTGAGGGCCTCCCTTACCTCCTGCTCCGAGTCTGTCCCTGATAGCTTCTTGTCCTTGCCTTTGCTTCCCATCCCACCATTCTTCCGGCTGCTGCTGCCCGGCTTCCGGCCCCTGCGGGGAGGTACAGTCCATCTCCCCGCTCTTCACCTGCCCCCACCCACCTCCAACCCCTGTGGCCTTGGCCTTCTGCACCTGGACGCTTGGCCCTGGCTCCCCACCTGCGGGCACCCTTGTCCCCGTCCATGTGGTTGTCTTCCCCGTCCCCCTGCATGTCAGGCACGGACGCCACCAGGTCCTTCAAGAAGTCAAACTGCTGCTCCAGCTCAATGCACTGCTTCCTGGAAGGGGCGGGAGGGGATGGCATCTGGCAGCGCCCGGCTGCCTGGGCTCCCGGCGAGGGGCAGTCAGCAGCTCTGGATGTCGGAGGAAGGGAGCCCGGAACACCTCCACCTTCATCTCCACCGGCCGACCTCGCCCCTTCGCGGTAACACCCCACCTTTCCCAAGTTCGAACCCACCGGCCTCTACGGCCTCGCTGGTCTCCCAGGAGCCTCCCGCCTGCAGCCTCCGGGCCGGGGCCTGCGGCCTGGGGCCCTCCGAGGACCCAGCCTCTCTTAGGCGTGTGAGCTCCGGGGACCGAAGCCCACAGGCCCCTGGTCTGCACGGCCACTCACAGGTGGGATGTGGTCATGGTCTTGGCGTTCCGGGACTGGGTCACCTGGCAGGCCTTCTTCAACAGCGACTCCAGGAACAGCTCCAGGGCCCGGGCTCGGGAGCGTCAAGGAGAACCCCGCGGGTGCACCCCAGGCCGCCCCCCGCCCCCACGGCCCTCGCCCCGGGCAGCCCCGACAGGATACAGATGATGACGGGCACCGCCGCCGCCACCTTCCCAATTTCCTCGTCAGTCTGCATGATCTTCTTGATCCGCGCCTGGGAAGGGGGCAGAGAGCTCGGACCCCATCGCTTCTGGACCAGAAAACGGCGCTGGGGGAAGAACCAGTGTCACCCAAATAAATTCAATAAAAAAATAACCAAATCAATGACCTAAGTCAATAAATTAGAGGATACCCATATAATGGGATACTACTCAACTTAAAAAAGAATGACCTCACATTCTTATGTACTGAGAAAAGACGTCCAAGATACTTATTTGAAAAA